CCGTGATGATCGGCGCGAAGTTTCACTACCGTCACCAACATCACCCAAGCTTTGCCGAGAAGACTGAAAATTTAAAACTATACGAAAACCAAGCTTCACCATTTTGAAGGCGGAAAAATTAAGGGAACTCCATGGGAAAAAGTCTGAGATGCAGAAAAGCAAATTTTCGACACACCGTTCTCGTAGTCCTTCTCATAGGCCGCAGTCGCTGCGATCCTCTCGAGTCCTCGCTTCCTAGTGCATCGCTTAGTGCCATATCTTCATCAGGAGCATCATCTTTAGGATCCAGCTCAGAGCTCCCCAAAGTACCAGATTCATTACGAACATCAACTGCTAATTCTTTATTGGTAGGATACGTCATGGATTCGCCAGAACCTAGTTCCAGTCCCGAAGCGCTGATGGACACAATGCTACGTTTTGACTTCTGTGCGCGAGCAGAAGGCGACTCATTTGTGTTAGAGCGCGAACGACTCGCTTTTTTGGGAGAATATGTGGAAACCTCCTCGTTAGCAGCCAGCTCTGCCGCCAGGAGCGTTTGTGCTGCAGCGCTAGCGGCACGTGCAGGTGGGCGCCCTGATCGCCGACGCCAAGACTGTGGATCGTCATCTTTCGATGGATCTGCTGGAAGAGAAGCAGCTTCTTCAACGTGTTTTACGCCCTCTGTGTTATTCTCTGAAAAGACATTGAAATACACGGACAGGAACGTCTAAATATGCAGAACAAACCGGAACTTTCATTCATCGTGTCTCCGCTACAGTTAACAGACGCTGCCTTCACATCCACGTCGGATATTGAACCGCTAGCCTCAGCTGTGCTTTCATGAGGAATTGGAACCGGCCGGCTTCCACGTCGTCGGCGATTCTGCTCATCCACTAGCTCTTCAGCGTCGCTAGACAACACCGAATGACGCAAAGACAAGGGTTTTTCCACACTTGAAGGAGCACTGCACTCTTTAGAAGCAGTCGCATTTTCGCTAAACTCCGTCCGCTCGGAATCACATCGTATGCGTTTCGTAGGACCCTCATTTCCCTCCCTGTTGATGAGGAAAAGCTGATAATCGAACTATAGAGACAAGAAAAGAATAACTATGCAACCCACGTCAACGAGTTAGACAACTTTTCTGAACGTTGTAACTCTAAACGTTTACGCTGTGATCTTGAACTTCCTGCCTAGAAGAAAGTGCGGATAAACACAAAATAAAATCTTACGAAAGCTTCTGAGTTCAAGCTACAAAACTTAGTCTTAAATAGATAACAAAAACAGAAAAATAAAGCTTGCCTTTCGCTTCGTCCTCTTTGAAGGACCTCGATCTTCAAGCGCACGTTGTTCCGCCTCCACGCTGCGCTTGATTGCTGCAACGTCCAAGGTAGGTCGCGGAGATGACAAGGCAGGTTTAACCTAAATGAAATCATTTAAGAAGGAGTCGCAGGGGTCGTTACACAGTGTGGATAATTTTTTTGAAGTGATAAATTCCACTTTTTTAATAGCATCAAATGAAATAAATTTTCAGAGATGATTGTAAAAGGATTTACACCATAGCGGAGTCACCTTCTGAGGGCTAGCAATAGTTTTTGCCATTTTTGCCTTGATCTGAGCGATATTTTCCTGCGTTTCTGCTAAAGTCAACTGTTCTTGTTGGCGCTTTTGAGCATCCGACTTCCGTTTATTGGCGGTTTGCAATCTTCGTATGCGATTCCTATCATGATGACATGATCGCCTGGCCAGTACTCTATAATTCCAAATGTCCCTTTCTCGCCTCAAATCAAAACCTCACTTACTTCCGTTCTTCTGACGCAATAAGGATAGCGTAGTTCAGTCTAGAAACTTCGTCGACTAAAGCAGCATTATTCTAAAATAGAAGAAGAAACCTTCATTCATCCCACATCAGTTCCGATGCATACATACTGATGGCTTTTCCTCTTTTATCAATGAAATGTAAAGTTTTTAATTTGAGCTGCTAATCTTATGCAAAGGCACTTTTACAAAGTAAGACAATACAGACACCAGCAACTTGACGAAATCGAGCAACTCGACTTAGATATTTAAAAGTGATACAAAAAGCAAACTAATAATTATCAAGGAAATAAACGACAACTATAGCAAACATCAATGAACAAAAAAAATTTTAAAACTTACGTAGGTCAAAAGTTTTATATCACGCACGAGAACATCTAGTAGTCGTCCATACATGGTTTCTTCATCTTCGCCAA